ACAGGCAAGTCGATCTCCGTTGACTCGTAATTCTTCATTGCTGCACCTGACTTTGCGCCGTTTCGCTAGATGATACCTCTGAATCCAAGATTTAGTTCGAATCCATGCTTCTCCTCTGCAGGTACTGTCTCGTCCGGCGGGACAGGCATCGAAATATTTTGTCGTCATACATGAGAACAGCTTTCTGAGCATCACTGACGGGCACGGACATTTGTTCAACGCCTTTCGCGCTTTGAAAAGATGATTCACCAAATTTCGACCAACTTCTTCCTAGGTCTGTGTGTTGCGCCGAGAGGCGGGGAGCAGATTTCGCGCTGCTCCTCAGTTCCGTAGATCAACGATAAAGCTGAGGCTGGTCATCGGCGCACATTTCCTTGTATTCTTTGGTTCGGTTGCGAGCGCCACCAAAGGACGCGCAGTAACAGTCTCTACCGGCGAATCAAATGGCCTGAGGAGCGCAGACAGTGCGCGAAAACATTTCGGGGGCCCTGACATTGGTCGTGCAGGAACTCTTGACGTCACGAGCGCGATACGCATTGCGCTTCTCGCGTGCCGACTTTGAAGCGAGGGGTAGACAGCTCACGCTCAACTCATTTCCTTTCGGTACCCCTTTAAAGGGTACTTCAACGAAATTCGAAATATACCCGCCGTGTTTAGAGCTGAATATGATCTACAATGTCCGGTAAATGACAATCGCACGTTTATATTTCGAGCCTCCATGGCTGCATTTTTCGTTATAAACGGCCCACTCTGACTCGCGCTCGGAGAGCAGCCAGCAATGTTTGCCGCCAGCGAAGAGCACGTGACATCCGCCACAATCGGGATGTAACTTGTCTCGCTACGAGCCACTACCTCCATGGCAATTTGTTGGATCGCCCATCCCCGCTTGGTCGCTGCAGATCGAGTGCGGCCACCGGACGGCCATTTTGCATGCACCGAAGTCGCGTTTCTGCGAGCGTTGCAGAGGCTGGCGGCAACGTGCTGAAGACACGTCTTCTACTCGTTTTTCATAATTCGACGAAGAAGTTTCGTAAACGCATGTGAAAACGGTGAGACTTGTCTTTGAAAACCAGTGAAAATTTTTACTAAAGCGCAGCGCCGCAGGAAAAAGGCGCAGCTCGTCAAAAGCAAGTTTCGCAGGTGTTGCGGCATAATCGAAGCTTCCTTGGCACGCCGAAGTGCTGCGTTTCTGTGCCAAATATGCAAGATGTCAAATATGCAAAGGAGACGGCACACTCCCAATATTTTACCACCTGATTTGGGAATGTGAGGCTGTCGCCACAGACAGGAACGATGCTTGGGTTCAGCAGGGCCGAGACACTCCTAGCCAGTGGGGGAACAAACCAGACCTCCCCCCCCCCCCCCCCGCCCCCCGGTTGGTACGCCCATGCTCCTGGCTCCTATACGAGGAGTGGATCGGACTTGTTGGTGACTCTGTAAGGCGAGTTCGAATTTTACGGACCCTGCTCGATTACACGACGTTGGGCTACCTCAGTGAGAGCTGTCAGAACATTTAGAGAGGAGGCTTTCTAAGAAGAAAATCCCGATAAAGAAGTCACGCGCGAGTGCGACCCCTTCTTCTTTTTTATTTTTTTTCATTGAACGTTTTACACACACAGATTTCCGAGCCGCGTCCGCTTTGAACACGAGCGGCCGCGTCGGCTTCCGTGGCAAAGCATTAGACATGACACGTCGCAGCCAATTTCGGTGCCGTTTTTCGCGGTTACAGACGCCGCCGGCTCCGCTTCATGATTCTTTTGCATTGAAAATACGGCATGATGGTGAGCAAAGTTCAAATAGCAACGCATCGGGCTCCTCGGAGTACTCCGGGTCGAGGCGCTTTTCCTCGAAGGATGAACCGGGGGCGATGTCCGAGCTGCTGTTGGCCGCAGAGAAGCCTCGCTTGACACCGGAACGGTCGAGTGGCATGGCGGCGTCTTCAGAAGGCGCCGAGTCCGTCGACTATTCGGGAATTGTCGTCGTCTCCGACGTACTCGAGGCGGAAGGGGAAACCCCTTGGCCGCGTGGGACGTCAGCCGCATCGTCAATAACGACGCAGTCCGAGTCGGAACTGAGCTAGTTGGTCTCGGGCACGGGGAGGGCATCACATGATTTTTTCGATGCCATAAAAAGTAAAATCTGTACTTGCACCCGTAGCGGTGCGCTCGTTTCCATCCGCTAGGTTTTACGTGAGCGAAGCCAAGTCGTGGCGGGCGATGCCGTAGCAAGGAGGCCTCGAGGACAAGATCGCTATCAGCTCGTCGCGGTCCGTCGTGCCTCCGGAAGGTTTTCCCAAACGAAACTCTGGCGGACGCGGTGCGCGATGTGTCAGCTGTGCGCGTTGGAGTACTGCGCTCGTTCCGTCTCCTAGGTTTAACGAGAGCAGCGTGAAGGAAAGACCGGCTACATGTGCGAGACTCTGATGGGCGGACGATGGATCACGACGAGCCGAGCCGCTGAGAAGTTGGAGGAAACGACGGCTTTGCCGAGACCAAGATGGGGAAGTGTGATCGGTTCCAAAAACATTCTGCGGCGAGTTTCGTTCACCGGCACGCGCTTTCGGATAACGTCCTGAACTTTGCAGTAACCGGAATTTTTAAGCCCTTTTTTACATTTCCGAGAGTCAGCGAGCTGCTCAAACGACGCATTTCGGCCGTCTGTTGCATACAGCGAGTGGACTTAATCGAAGTGGAGTTTCGTTCGCTTCAAGTCTGATAGCCGTGCCAGGTGTGCCACTGCCAAGTCAAACTGAGTTGATCATGATACATATTTGTAAAACACCGGACTCAAACTCAAGTGCATGCTTCAAAGCTGGTTGCGATGCACACCAAGAACACCCCCAACCGTATTGTGAACGTGTGCGACTGTGCACGCTGCACAAAATAATCGCTGTAAACATTCATTAGTATTTAAAATTCTTTCGAAGCAAAACACATTTCTCAAGCTGAATGATGTTGCGCACATTGTTAGAACACTGGTATCCACTTGCACGATGGTAGCGAAGAGTAAAAAGACATAATTTCTTAAATTTATTTTACGCGACAACAAGAAAAAAGCCTCTGGTGCAATCAGCTGCCGCGATCATGAACAGAACCGTGGTGGAATCTAGTGCCACTTGGTACCACTCAGTTCGTAGACGCAATAACCATGTAACGCTCACTGGTCACGTGTGGTTCATCTTTGAAATAAAAATTGGCGTGGAGTATAAGAAAGAGGCGAGCGACACGAGATGGGGGCTTTCGAAAGCTACGTGGCTGACGTCATGTCCTGCCGTAGACGACAGAGCGCTGGATTCCGAGTCCTCCAGGGCGTCAGGAGCGGTTTTGCTTCACGAAGCGTCGGGGGCGAGGTCGCTAGGATGCAGAGGTCTGTAGAGGGGCAGGCAGGCCCGGGTCGTCCCGGCCATCCTTAGGTGGCCTGGGGATCTGGGGCTTCCCGGTGGCGGCAGCTCGCGACCGCGGGCGGGACCGGGTGTCCTTGGGCTGCTGCGTGGCAGCGGCGTACCATTTCCGCTGGGTACAGTCTAGGGTGGCATGGGCGTGGCCGCACCGCCGACATGGCGCTGTACAGCCCTCCGTTCTGCGGTCGAAAATGCCGCACCAATCACAATGCGGCGTCTTGCGGTCGGGTCCAATATGGCCCTCCATCACGCGTCTGCTGCACACGCGGCTCAAGCCACGGTAATCTACCGTGACCCAACGTCCCTGGATGCTGATGACGATCGCGACAGGATGGACATCTCTATTTGTACCACGCGTGTCACGTTCCTGATGGCCGGCCGATCTCGAAACGTCGCGTGGGGTACGGCGTTCACCTTGCCATACTGGCTGAGGACTTGCACCAAGCCATCCTCCGGAACGTACGGTGGAATGCGGTAGACGGAGACGTACAGGATGTGAGACCCTACTGGCTACAGGGGGACCTCGACCTCTCCGAACACGAGGGAATTTCGCGCAATTAAACGCTGGACGGCGGCTGTGCTTCTGACCGCCGACATAAACCTTGCATTTCTGTGGTGCTGCAAGTACTAGAGGCTACCTGCTCCGGCGACTGATTGGACGCTATGCATGATGGCATCTACCGGCGTTCCCGCCGGAACGTTGAAGTAAAAATATTGCACCTTGGTCGACGTCGGCGACTTGGCGGGTGACATATCGGACTTGCTAGGCCCCTGGGACCATACGAATATCGGGGTTCAAGGGGGGAGGGGGGGACCTAGCTTGGCTGGTTTCTAGGTCGTCACAACCGCCGTCGTCGTCTTACCGTTTGTGAGTAGTAGAAAGTTTTCGTAGATCGTCTTCGCGGGACTTTGACTTTACAGGGAGCTTGCACTACTCTCCCAGTATCCAGTGACTAGCCTACCCTATGACGCCAACATTAAATATAGCCGTGCTCAGGGGTTGTCAAAGTAGAAACGCGTGCATTGTTAGAGTTCGGATACTCTCACCACCGCAGGGGTTGGACACGAGCCACTACCCGAGTGTCCGCCGAGGCATTGATTGTTACGAGCCGATGTACAGTGCTCCCGCATTTCCCATGTCCAATCCATGAGCCGTACTCGACTGTCGTCAGGCGGGTGGTTTCGATCCCACAATTACGTGATCAAGCTTCGCGAAGGCAAGAATGAAAGAAATAGTCCTCTTTTATTCGCGCAATTTCACCACGACAAACTCTGAAATTTACATGGATTCGACCTCAGCGCATCGAATCGAGATTTGACTATTTTGATTGGTAGTGGATGATTAGGAGAGAAAGAAGCGTGGAAGGGTGCGTGTGATTGGTCCCTGTTCGATTCGATCCGCTATAATCGCGTTAATGTAAACCCAGCCAAAGAAGCTTCCGAATCAGTGGCGGTCTGTGCGAGTATACTTGGGCCCGACCAGGACCAGTACGCTTCCCCAAAGTCACGAACATTCCAACCGAATATTGTTTCTCGACCTCTTCAATTAGACGAACAGAAGCCTCCAATGGCGGCGGTGTGAATCCGCCACCTGTCGTAGGTGCTGCGCGTGAGCGAGCGGGAGTTCCTGGAGGGCATGGGCGTGTTCTTCGTGTCCTTCCTGGCCCAGTACGGCTACGACCGGGTGCTGTCGGTGCTGGGCCGGCACATGCGCGACTTCCTCAACGGCCTGGACAACCTGCACGAGTACCTCAAGTTCAGCTACCCCAAGATGAAGGCGCCCTCGTTCTTCTGCGAGGACGAGTCCTCCACGGGACTGACGCTCCACTACCGCAGCACCCGGAGGGGCTACCTGTGGTACACCGTCGGTGAGCGTCGCCTTTCCTTGTTGCCCGCCCGACGATCCGATGGAGCGCCAAAAGTGCGTCGTCACGGCGCCTTTGCTATCCGCGCCTCTGCCTGACTGCTTTAGAGCCGGTGGCTGCGAACCAAGCCGTGACGAACGCAAGGGCCCTAAAATGCTACAAATGCAACTACAAAAAGGCTTAAAATCACAGCCACGCGAAGGAATTGTAATAGCTGTCTGCTTTTAGATTTATTCTTGAAAAATTAAAATGAGGGAAAATTACGGTTTCCCTCCGTTTCTAAATAAAGATGTAAACGAGTAAACACGTGTCGCACCTGATGCTTGATTACCGATTTGAAAAAAAAAAAAGCCTAAAAGAGCGAAAACTATTGAAACTGCTGTTAACAGACACGTGAATTATGAAGTTTGGCAACGAGTGGCATCGAGGTGCGCCTATCCACACTAACGCTTCGAACTTACTTTTCTGGCTTAGACTGTCCCCAGCTTGCCCGAAACAGTTTTTTTGTTCTTTTTATCGAGCTTTTTGTTGATAGTTGCTCTCCATGGAGAGCAACTATCTTGTAACCACTTTGCCACACATCTGCAGTAAAACGTTGAGAAAGCAAGTTTCGCGGGGCGTCTAAAGTGTGTTAGAATCGTTAGTGTACTACATGCTGTGTTCTGTAGCCCCATTATCGTCGAGAACAGATAAAGGCAAGAAGCAGGAGAGGGGAGCCTCAATGCCGCTGAGTGGAGGCAATAAGCTCGTGCTTTAAAGCGAGCTCTGATCGGATGGAAAGTGGGTACACGCCAAGGGCCCTCTCCAATCAGAGGGGCGTCGTCCCATTGCCTACGACGCTATCGTTCGCTCTCATTGGAGGGGGCCCGCCTACCCTTCCATTCGGGGCTCTGCTTATCCCCCCCTTCGGTTTCTCTTCATTCAGCCTTCGGTTCATACGCAAATTATAATAGTATTTTATTCTGACTCTAATGAGTCTCCAACGAGGTATAAAGTTGGGCTAGTTGGCGCATTATGAAAACTTGAAAACAGCGCAAAATACACGGCGGACAAGAACGAGGAGTGAAGTACTTTGCTGCTTTTATGTTTCCCTTTTTGTTCTTTGCAGAAATAAACTTCAGTTGCCAGTCAAGGTTGTTTTAAGTTCGTTCACTTCTCGTTCTTGTCCTTCGTGTATTTTGCGCTGTTTTTAAGTTTTTTTTTACTGAGTCTCGGCTGGAGCAGCAAAAAACGAACTAACGCCACCTCACGAGGCTCCACCACCCTTGTACATCGTTCAGCAGGGACAAAGGAAATTGCGTAAACGAATGCTTTAAGTGCACACATCAGACATCTATCTTATATGTACACTTACTAGCAACGCCAACCACACAACCTTATACCATATTTTCACAAAAACAATCATAAGTAACAAATACAAAACAAACGCAATTACTTAAACATTATTCCACGTGCACATAAACTCAACCAGATCCGTCACAGTAAAAAAAAACGCACGCACACACACACTCGTTCGGCAAGAAGTAATTATTTACATGTTTTTTTAAAAGTATAAAGTGATTTAGAATTTAAAAACATTTGTTCCATTTCCCCAAATTTTTTCAAACATTCTGCTACTTGATATACTTGAGTTTCGTGAGCCGTTCCCCATCGAGGTAATGTTCTCCGCGTCCGCAGGTCAGATCAAAGAAGTGGGCCGTCACTTCTACAGCACGGAGGTGAAGGTCGAGGTGCTCAAGGAGGAGTCCATCTTCAACACGCTGCACGTCATCATGAGGCTAAACTTCGACAACGTCGCCTTTCAGCCGGCGTCGCTGAGAAAGGTGCGCGGAAGGGCCCTACCCGAGCGCCCGATCTGGTCCTGTCGTTAAAAAGATTGATTCTTTTCATTTTAACCCCATTAAGTCTTCCGATTGTGCCCATTTCGAAATGCATCTCACCGGCGTGCGGTCGCGTATCGTTACTGCATGATGCATGTTAAAGACCCCGGGCTTGCAGTCGTAATGCCCTGGCTAAAGTTACAATAGAGGCGTCAAACTTCGGGCACCCTAAGGTCCTGCTCGACTCGCGTTTGGACATTCCAAGAAACGCCCGTGAGTTGATTTTTCTGCAAAACACGGAGTCTGCTAACCGTGGCCAACGATGGAAAGATGCCAGCCGATCAGAAAGCTCGATTAGAACCGAACAACTGAATGACAACAATGAGCGAGGGGAACGTTACACTCACGGTCCCTGCTCGTGGGATCGCATTCCTTTTTTTGTCTCTAATTGCATTTTGAATTTTGTCGTTTGCCGGGATCCTCCTTTTGTTCGCCGTAGTTGCTGCAGTTTTCGTTTTCTGCAGGAAAGTAAACTCGCAGAACTGTCTTAGAGCGTGCAAAGTGTACAGAGCGAACAATGGGCAGGAACGAGCGATCGCATGGTTGGTTGTTTCTCTGTCGCAACAAATATGCTGTAATTAAAGCCGCTCGGGGGGTGAAATTGGCTGATGAGCGGCAATCAGCTGGGCAGTGAAACTTGATAGCTGTGGACATTCTGTGTGAGTAAAATCCCACATAGCGACGATGTCGCTTTCGCGCTAACTTTGTTACACTGTGGCGCTCTGTAAGAAGATCGATGGAGTTTTCTCCTTTCGAGTAGCACACGAGGAAAGATGAGACAGCTCCCCAACGATAAGCTCAGTCATAGCCTCCTCTCTTCTCACAAAGCCTGGCAGTCGAAGACGGAGCCGTGCCCGGTCGCAGGTTTGGAGCGCGAGGATCTGGGAGCACACAGCATTTCTCGGGGAACCTAGAGTGCCTCAATGTTGTTGGCCGCTGCGCCTTGGTGGAATGGGGACGACTCTGTCGTCTGCTAGAAGGGCGGCCATTTTTCCTCTCGCCTGACGCGCCGGGTATATGGGAAAGAGCGCGTCGCGTTCCCCTTTGAGCTCGTTGTGCTGTTACTGGGTACGATCACTCGTAAACTATAGGAGGACTGCTTTAAGGAACGCGTCACCTCACCCTTCGAGTCACGTGTGCACCTGTTTTATGATATAAAATGACGATGTAGTGCGCACATGCGGCAAGTCCGTTGACAAAAGTGCCATCGGCTGCCGCTTGTGGCGTGATCCGCTTCTTCATGATGGCCGATTGATGTAAGTTTGTGGACAGTGTATATGTGCGGTACCGTTTTGTGAAACAGATTTCGGCATTTGACGTCGGATTCAATGAGTGAAATGTAAGGCAGTCACCAGGCGAGGCGGAGACCGCGATTACGCTGAGCTCGATATATTGCCCTTTTAATTCGCCGGTATTATTGCCTAACAAAATTGAAATGATAGATGGGCTGTGATTTGTATTTGGCTGACCTGGGGCGAACTCTTCGAGAAATCCACGCTTTTAAAGGTTATACGGATGTTAATAATGAGCACCGTAACACTCGCACTACAAGCTTTTAAACTAAAAACAAGAAAAATATATATATTTTTTTTTCAATTCGTTTTTATATCGCAAAAGATAAGAATTTGATTAGGCCATCTATCCCGGCTTTTGCCATCCGTCGGCTCCGTTCTGCTCGTAGGCACTGGGCTCAAAGTGGGCCTGAAAATAGAACAGAGGGCATCATTAAAAGAAGTAGGTTCTAAAGCAAACTTGCTCTCAATTTACTTTTCTTAAAATTGGCAATCTATTACAAACATGAGTCTATTTAACGTGCTAATGCACACTAAGGGCGAATGTTCAATATCTAACTTAAGGACGTTCATTATACTAATGGGTTCTCTGCAAAAAAAAAAAAAAAAAAACGTTCGTACACCAAAATAACGAAATGTGCGATACAACGCTAGTGTTATACTCCCCCAGGCTGGGTCAACACCCTTCCCAGAGGTCCTGATCCAAAGTGTACACAAGCTTGTGATGCTATCACCCCAGAACCCCTGAAAAAACTAACCCCCCCCCCCCCCCCCCCCTTTCCGATTGCCCGGTAATAGGGAGTTTTCGTAGATCGTTTTCGCCGTCCCGCAAGGCCCTCCGCAGCCCGCTACGATAGCGGGAACTCCACAGTCAAGGCTGTCGGCGCGCAGGCGCAGTAGCAACTTCTTCGTTGCGGAACGCTTAGCGGAGGGGGCAGCGCGGTCTACGAAAACTCCCTATTTACACTCACTCTAGCAGCGTCGACCGAACGGCCTCCGACCCCGAGACTGCGGGTAAGCGAGGACAACACGAAATATCCTTACTCCGTACCATTCTGTCCTGAAGCCGACCAACACACACGAACCGTAGCCTCGGAGATCGGCGCGCTCGCGCTACACACGAACATTCGTTGCTGGGCGATTGCATTTTACTGGCGTACGGGAGAAGAGAAAGAAGTCGGATCGCTGGTCGCTATAGCAATGACTGCGAGCAATAGCAGTAGCGAGTCGTGGAAGCATCTATAGAACAGAATCGTTCAGGACCTCAGCCAATACTTCTAAACAATATTTCCTACGGTGAACGAAACAGGGATCGGAAGGAAACAGAGCTGCTACTCACACTGCACACAGACGAGGAGCGGGTCGGCTCCCAGTTGTCCCTATTTATCTCCGTCAGCCACAGTCGCTTCCGTTTGGCGTTCGTTGGAATGTTGAATAGCCTGGACCCGTTTCGGCAGTGATTTGAGCACTTCGGCACGCAGCAACTCGGCATTCTGGTCGAGGCACCCTAATTGTTGTGGGTACGAGGCCACGAGGCGGCCTCCCGGTATCACGCGTGCAGCGTCAACGCCACGCGAGAGGAAAAATGGCGGCCGCCACCGGGAGCGGTCGGGGGAAACCGGGGAATCCCCGAAAAGGCGGCACTTGCCCTCCCTAAAGATGTCGCCAGTCTAGCAAGGCGCAGCGGCCAACCGCATTGAGGCACTCTAGGGGAACCTGGACGTCAGCGCACAGCTTTTGCAGCGGCGAGGACCCGAAACATGGTTTTCAAACCCGACGAGAAAAAAAAGCGGTAGCCCGAGGAACGCGAGGAGCACGAGCGGACATTCCATCGCTCGGGACAAGTGTGTTTCGGCGTGTGGCCGCAGCGGGGCATCCTTCACGTGGCTCTCCTCTCATCCGTTGTCTGACGCTCTACCTTTTCCATTTGGGCGGCCGCCTTTCGTGCTGACCTGCCAGGCTTGGTCTGTATAGAGGCTGCTATGGCTCAGGAGACCAATCTCACTAAGCGTTGCACGCGTGACGCCGCCATAACTGTAGTTCACGGGAGGCCAGTGAACGAGATATGCTGTGCTCTTGCAGGAAGATGCATGCCGGCGGCGGTTGCACAATGAAACGCGCTGAATACGGTCTTTTACATGATCGGCTGTATAGAACTCGTACGTTTGAGACCAGTGATATTTCAGTTGTGTCTAAACATTAAAATAGCTGTTAAATAACTCAAACAAAAAAATTATCCTTGCACCTAGCGAAGTAAAGGGATTGTCAAAGTGTTTCAGTATTCGCTCTCGACCTCTCAAAGTTCGCTCCGTAGTTCCGTCCCCGTAAAAGAAAACAAAAACAAATGAAAAACAAAGAACTTTGAGTACATGCCGCAAGAGGGTCACCTGGGTTGTCTAACGGTCATAAATTTCTCACTATTTTCATAAAAAAAAATGTTCGGGAATGGGCTGGCATATCACAGGGGTCTTGTACGAAAATTTTGTTGTTTTTTTTTGCTTGGATTGGGGGGTTGCAGTAAAAGGCTACAATAAACTTTTTTTAAACTTTTTCTCCCGTGTAAATATTGTGAGCAACTTACCATGTATAGAAGCATCTGTTTATGTATATATTATATGTATATATATTATATTGTTATTATATTATTATGACGAGAAAAGAAGCGGTAACCCGAGGGACGCGGAAAGCACGAGCGGACATTCCGCCGCTCGGGAGAAGTGTGTTTCGGCGTCTCGATGCAGCGGGGCGCCCGTTACATGATCGATGCGAAAATTCAATGCGATCAATGCGAAACTTCAGAGAAAGGGTGAGGAATGGATGAGTAATGTAAGTAAGAAAGATATAAAGGCTGCCAAGAAGTTTTGGGAGCACTTGAACTCACTCGGTGAAACGACGCAAGCTAGACAGAGGTTCATACTCTCGCATCAGGGAGATCAATTAGAGGGAGATGATGCGATACAATATATAGGAGCAGTGATGGAGGAGAAATTTCGGGAACGGGTACATGTGGAAGATAGGAGAACCGAAGGAAGTAGCAGTCCAGTTTGTGACATCGCGGATTTCGGACAAAGAGAATGGGAAAAGGCGGAACGAAGAGTCCCTAGTGGCACGTCGACAGGCACAGATGGGATCCCAATCAAGCTGGTGAAGAATTTGGGTCCTAAATCTAAGGCAAAACTAAGGGAGGTAGTGAGTACCATAATAAAAAAAGGAAATATTCCAGATGAATGGAGGCTTAGTAGGATGAGTATGATATATAAGGGAAAGGGAGATAAGTCTGATATTAGGAATTATCGTCCCATAACCGTGACACCGGTTATTTACAGGCTGGTAATGCAGATTATAAAGAACAGACTGGAGGAATGGGCAGATTGCGAGCGCATACTGGGCGAGTTACAGAACGGGTTTCGGAAACAAAGAAGGTTGGATGACAATTTATTTTCTCTTACACAGTGCATAGAAATAGCGAAAAAAGAAAACAGACAGCTCTGGCTGGCATTTCTGGATATCAAGGGTGCCTATGACAATGTGGACCAAAGGAACCTGTGGGACATAATGGAGAGCTTAAACCTAGATGAAAGACTAACAGCAATATTCAGGAACATTTACAAAGATAACAAGGTGATTATAACATGGGAAGGAAAGGCGACA